TTTGCACACAACTTAAAAGTATATTTCCGTGACTAAAAAAGCGTCAGTATGTTTTGAAGAACACTACTGCAGTGGAAGACTTTCTCCAAAGTCCCAAACGACAAAATTATGTCAAACTTCAGCTTACTTCCTTCTTGCAACGCACTAAACTTCCCCAGTAATGAAAGCCAGTGGGTTAGTTGGTCCCTTGGAGAGGTGGACAGTAACTGAGATTCAGTGCTGGACAGAAATGGACTATTTTCTTGAAAATGAAAACTTTTTTTAGTTTTATAATGCTGGACGGATCAAGATAAAGTAAAAAACGATTTACAAGACAATTTGTTACTGCGATGTGACCTAATGTACTTGACAACCATTAAAGCTGCACAGAGAAACATTACCAGCAATAATGTGAGGACATAAAGGACACTCAGAGGAAGTCTTTTTGTTCAAGATGTGAGGGCTTTAAAGTTTAAAGTCAACACTAAACAATCTTGAGCACATCAGCTGTATAATATAAAGTCCTTTTTGTCCCGAAAAGTGCATCGAATACAGAACACGAGCGACCGTTTTCACCACTCAAACTTTGTTCTATATTATCAGATTACGATCCTCCCGTCTGTAACCTTCACTAGATCTAATTCCATAATACTCCTCCAAAAGTACTGGAAAACTTCAGACTAGTTTCTCAATACGATTATCATAAGGAGACAAGTGAGAAGATTAGCTGGAAATGTTTGGGAATAATTTTGGCAAATTATACTTTTGCATATATCATCATTTTTGAGCTAAAACTTCAAATATAAAGATACATTTGAATATCAAATAAACATTTAAACAGTTGCAAACAGTATGACTTAAGGAAACTTTTATTATATTTTTGGTCTTTACAAAACAAACAAAAACAAACAAATAAATAAATAAATAAATATGTATTTTTTATACTTAAGCAAATATTTTTAAAATTGTATAGTTTGTAATATAATTGTTATATAGTTTCAAAATAAATTTAAACTAAATTAGTCATTTTTTTGTATATTTTAAAATGTATTTTTAAAGTAATTCATAGTGATTAATTATTTTACTATTTATTCCATTCTATTTGGAATTATTCCATTATTTGGGATAAAATATGTTTCATATATAAACAAAGAAGCTAAATATAGTAAATATATTTGAGCAAAAAAACAAAAAAAACAATAATAATAATA